ACACACACACACACACACACACACACACACACACACACACACACACCTCTGTTTGCAACAGGCTGCTGGTTTGGCTGCCTTTTCTTTGAGGAGAGGGGCTCCTAACTGGGAGAAGCTGCCCTTCCTCCCCTGCAGGCGAGAGCGTGGAGGGGGCCGTTCTCCCTGTGCCCCTGGAGCACCGTGGCGGCGGTCGACTTGGTGGTCCCAGAGGGTGCAGCTGCTTTCGAGGCCCTTCCCTTGAGCTTTGGGATTCCGTTTTCATTTTTTCTCTATCTTTTCTCCCCCCTCTCTCTTGGGCTTGACTGGTCTTCCTCCTGCCCCCTTTCCTGCCTGCGTTCCCAAATAATAGCAAATGTGCTGAACTTGAAGAGGAATTGAAAACTGTGACCAACAACCTGAGGTCGCTGGAGGCTCAGGCGGAGAAGGTAGGACGAGCAGGGAGGAGCAAGGCGAGGTGGGGGAGAAAGTGGCCGCGCCCAGCACGGGACTCGCCCTCCAGGCCCCACGGCTACCTGGCTTTGCCCACTCGGCTTGTCTGCCCACGAGTTACCAGGTGGCCCCCGAGTGGATACGTGGCCTCGTTCGGAGTCAGTCCGTTGGCGGTTCTGGGCGCCCCCTCTGGCAACCGGCAGACGGCTGAGCTTCAACTCCCAGAATTGCCCAGGCAGCATGGTTGGACTCCGGCCCTCCCTGGGCCGGGTGGGGGAATTCTGGGACTTGAAGTCCACAAGCCTTTCGGTGGTCAAGGTGAGAAACGCCGCTCTACTGGACCGCTCTGGATTTAGTCTCAGGTTGGGGCAGCCTGGAAGAACCAGAAGGGCCGAGGATTAAACCGAGGCCTTTTGAGCCGGTCTCCCATTTGAGCCCTCGAGTGTCTCATCTGGCAGCAAAGCCGAAGGAAAGGAACCGCGGGGTGCGTCACGCATCTGCACACCAAGCAAAGGTTGAGGGCATTTTCTTCCAGCGCAATTGAACAAGAAAACCGTTTCTCCGGCTTGGTCCCAAAGGCAGCTTTGCATCATTGGCTCTTCTCTGCCACGCGGCTCAGACGGGGCTCGAACCGGGTCACATTTATTCCCTTCCCGTGGGCTGGCCTTTCTCTGGCTGCAGGAAGGAAAGCGCTTTTCCTCTTGTGGAGTGGAGAAGCGGCCCCACGGGAACCCACGCGGCCAATGGGCTTCCTCCCGCCCGGCGAACAAGTGTGGTCCTCCTCCGCGGCACAATCAGAAGGGAAGAGGCGCTTTCGGCCTTGGGGAGGGCAGGGGGGGCTGCGCAGGAGCCTCCCCAATTCCCCAGGAGCTCTTCCTGGCGTCCAGGCGTTTCCCCAGAGGCCCCGTTTTGTTCCTCTTTGCGTCTCAGGAGATCCACCCCTTCCTCCTCCTCCTCCTCCTCCTGCCTGGCAGCCTTTCAGAAGGGGAAGTGCTGGCCTTGCCCTGGGCGGAGCGGGGGAGGAGGAGGCCCCTCCAGCTGTTGCTCTAAGCACTGGGCAGCTGTGCAGCCGGGATGGGCAAGACCGGCTTCTCCAGGAGGAGGAGAAACCCTCCGTTTTGGGGCGGGGGCGGGTTCAGGAGACTTTTTGAGTTGGAAAGCTGGACTTTGGCAAGCGGAGGCGGGCCAGGATTCCTCAGAAGGCTTTAGTGAGGTGAAAAATATGGCCATGTCCAAAGGCCCCCTCCCCGGCTCTAAGACTGCAGATGGGAGTTGTAGTCCACCCTTGGCTGGCGGGGCCTGCTTTCCGTGGGCTGCAGGTCTTCAGCCTCAACCCCGTCTGATCAAACCTCCTCTGGATTCTGAGCGCGTTGTGTTCTCCTTTCCACCTGCAGTACTCCCAGAAGGAAGACAAATACGAGGAGGAAATCAAGGTCCTGACTGACAAACTGAAAGAGGTAAACCTCCCCGAAACAAACCCTTTCTAGAAGAGGAGGGTGGTGGGTTTTTTTGTGCTTCCTGGAATGCCGAGGTGGCCCAGGGGAGTGTCAGCCTTTCCAGGTGTACAGAAGTGTGTTGCACTTTGCCCCAGAGCCACCCCGTCTTCTTAATCAGCTGCCCTGCAGTCAAAGGAGAAAAACCTCCTTTACGGAGCGCAATGAAACCTTTGTGCAGCCGTGTTGCGTTTCCATCGGAGTTGCGGGGCTCTCGTGTTGGGAAGGTTGCCCAAACGGGGTGGGGTGGGGTGAGGATTCCGACTCTGGTCGTATCCTGAGGGCCCGGATCCTTCTTCCTCCCCGTTTCCGGTCCGTGCGTCCTCTGAGCAGCTTCCCGGTGGACTTTTGGGGCTGCCGCTGACGTTTTTCTGGTGGGCGTGGCTGAACACACCTTGGGCTGCTTCAGTCTTGGCCACGGGGGGGGGGGCAGCTCTTGGTAGTGCTCTGGGTCCAGTGGGCTTCTCCTGGTGGCCCCAACCCGCCTCCTGACCGCCTACGTGTGCTTTTGACCGCAGGCTGAGACCCGAGCTGAATTTGCAGAGAGGTCAGTAACAAAGCTAGAGAAGAGCATCGACGACCTAGAAGGTAAGTTTCTTGGCCTTCGTTCCTCTCCAGCTGCTGCCTGCCTTGACCGCTGCCCCGGGTCCACCCAGGAAGGCCCGGCTTCTGGTCCGTCTCCCTGGACTGGGTGCTGACCGCTTGTCCCTCGGGGCGTTTCCCTCTTGAGCAAGAACTGAAGGGGCGAAGGAGCCGCCGGGCTCGAGGGGGCTAGTCAGCAGCCAGGATCTTAGATCAGCGCATCAGGCCCCCCCCCCCCCGGTTCTCTTGAGCGGAGAGAGGGGAGGAGCGTTGCTTTCAGGGAAACAAAGGGTGGGAGGGTTGAAGCGCCTTTCCCGCTCCGCCCCCCAGAATCCTCGCTTTCCCGCCTGCCAGCTTTTCCCCCGGCTCTTATTTTGGGACAGCCCTTTTCCATTCCATCTCCTGACCTCTCTTGTGTTTTATTCCACACTCTCCCTCCCTCCTGCCGGTGCCTGCACACCCACCCTCCTGCTCCCTGCTCCCGGCCGGATTTCTGGACGGTGCTTCCTTTCATCACTGCCTCCTCTTTGCACTCCTTTTCCTCGGCCACCCTTAGACGAGTTGTATTCCCAGAAACTCAAGTACAAAGCCATCAGCGAGGAGCTGGATCACGCCCTCAACGACATGACCTCCATGTAAATGGCACCCCGTTTTCTGCCTCCGCATGACCTCAAGCCAGCCTTGCGAAGTCACGCCGCCCTTGCTCCCTCTGTCCTATACGCTGTACGTGCGAGCGTGCTCTTTTTAAGTGCCTTCTGTTTTGTAAGTTCCTAGTCCTCAGTGTTTTGGAGAGGACTGGTAACAGAATGCAATTGGCAAGCAGCGGGTGGCATTGCCGCCTATTCCTGCAAATACTGCTGAGTTGGCCCTGGGTTTCAGCAGCGTTCTGGTGTCATTTAGCGGACTCTCTTCTATTGAGAGGGCAAAAGAGCCGAAGTCATTGGCACGCTGAGATTATTCTGAATTAAGGACGAGGGAGCAAGCGCTTTGCCTGGGCAAGGCTCACTTGAACGTGTGTCCCTTCCTTTCCTTCCTCCTGCTTTCCTCCACTTGGTTCCACGCCATTTTCTTAACCTTTTCTTTCTCCTTTCAGTTCTCTTCCGTTTCAGCATTTCTCTGCTTCTGCACCAAAGCCCACCTGTTCTTCTCTTGGCAAACCAAACCTTTCTTGCTAAGAAACTCCCCATAAATAGACGGGATTCCAGCAGTTGCGAAGTAGACCTAGAGGCTATTTTAGCATCAGATCCAGTGAGGTCCACAGTGCCTGTGCAAGATTTTGTGGGAAAATGGGCCCTGTTTTCCTTGTGTCCCTGCTGTACGAGAGCAAATTCTCGTGCAGGAAAACCTGTAGCGTTTCTCCCTGGAGTGGCAGGCGGTGGGCGCCTCTTTCGCCTCTGTGGACCCACACAAATTTGCAGCAAGGGAGCCCCCTCGAAGCACAATTAACCTGAAAACCCCCTTTACTTTTGATTTTAATTAGGCAGGAGCCAAGCACGTTTTTAACAGAATATTATCGAGACTAATTGTCAAGGGATTGCCTTTTGAAAAAGTATAGTAGTTATTCAAAAAGTATCCCACTTTTTATGAATATGTGTTTGCCTTCCCATCTTTATAAGAAGGTTGAAATCATCTGGAAACTGTTTAAAAACGTATTTTTTAGGAAAGGTTCACCAGGTGGGCTATAACTCTCTGTGGCCATTATAGTCCAGCACAAAAGTTTTAGTTTGTGTAGTCCAACACAACCGGACGTCCCCAGGTTAAACAGTGTTTTTTTAAGGCTGTTTTAAATCTGTCAGTCGGATCAAGTTTGTCCTACGTAAGAAATGCTGAGTGGAAATCTGTTGTACCTGGCCACTAACCTTCCTACTAACCTTTGTGAAAATGGACTGTACTAACTTATTAAAGAGGGGGGAAATTCCCTACAGCTAAGTGCCTGCCTGCCTGCCTGAGGTTCACTTCTGCTGTTGTTTCGGAGCGTGGAATCTCTGGCTGAAATCTCAGAGCTGAGTTTCGCTGGAGGGATTTGCATTCTCCTGGCTTAACTGACCAGCAACTCTTGGCCCTGAGTTTGCCATTCAGCAGTTTGCCTTGGTGGTGCCTTTGGATTTCCAAAGTCACCGTCCGAATAATCATCCTTTTTGTAGGTCTGGGTTCCCTGCATCCATGGGAAATTTTATATACGCGTGTTTAACATTCTCTGCTGGTTGTTTTCTTTGACAAATAACTGGGCATCGTGCGGTGGACGGGATGCGGTGTGGCAGGGTTAAAAAAGAAAAAGTAGAATAATGAACGCAAGTCCAATGCCGCTTGGAAGGTTTGGGGTGGGCTGGAAGAGAGAACGATCACCCCCAGCTTAAAATGGGGCTGGCGAAGGCAGAGGGAACCCTTTATGGAGAGCGAAGGGCCGGCTCCCTCCAGACCTGACCCGTGTCCGAAGGAGGGTGGTTGGGCTTTTCAAGACCTAGCGCAGATTTGCAGAGGAGGGAGGGAAACACCCAGGTCCACTGGCGTCAATTCCACGGAAGCTCTGCAAGGTCCACCTCTTGGAGGCCAGGTTAGCGGAAGGAAAGAGCGATTTGATGCCCGTAGAGAGGGCTGCCTCCAGGCTGGCAAGACGCCCCTTGGGGAGGGCTTGTCTCTCTCTCTCTCTCTCTCTCTCCCAGGGGTCCCGTGCAGTGGGGGGATTCCAATTGTTTTACTACCGGTTCTGTGGGCGTGGCTTGGTGGGCGTGGCAGGGGAAGGATACTGTGAGATCTCCAGCCAGAGGTGGGATTGGCCGGTTCTCCGAACTGCTCAAAATTTCCACTACCGGTTCTCCAGAACGGGTCAGAACCTGCTGAATCCCACCTCTGGCCCTGGATGCTGACCGAAAGACGGGGGAGAAGGGTTGTCGTAGGGCAGGCGCTGTTTTCGTTATCCTGATGCATTTTTCCTCCTCTCCTCTCCTCTCCTCTCCTTCCTTCCTTCCTTCCTTCCCTCCCTCCTTCCCTCTCCCCGCTTCCTCCCTTCTCCATCTGCTCTGCCATTTTTACTTCTGTTTCTTTTATCTTCACACAGATAACTCTCTTTGTTTCACTCCTCCCAAGACCTCCCTTTCGTCAGCCTGGGTGAACCACCTTTTCCAAGCTGGTACCTGCAGTCCAGTTCCTTGCCCTCCCCTCCTCCTCCTCCCTTTCCTCCTGGGGCTCGTTCACAGGATGGGGAGGGGGCTCCTCCCCTCCCCCCCGCCCTCCCCTCTCCCCACTTTGGGCCTTTCAACTGTACAGGAACTCTACAACTTTCACTGTAAAATAAACGAAAAATCCCGATGTCGTATCTGTTTTGCTGCTCCTTTTGCCTTTTATTTATGTCCTCCATTTCAAGTATGAATAAAGTTAAAAAAATTTGCTTTCTTCTGTTAGGGATTCATTCTTTTATTTTCCTTTTTCACCCGCCTGTTCCTCTTTTTTATTCTTTTTCTCCCCCCTGTCCCCCTCCCAGCTCTTCTGGCAGGATGGAGCCCATGAGGGGGGTGGGGGGGGTGAGCAGCCTCGAGGGGGAGGCAGGCAGGGGTCTCTGGAGGGAGGGGGCTTTGCTTTGATCATTGGCCGGGTGAGCAGCCTGGTCTTCACTCCAAGCCAGGGGACCGGGGGCGGGGGCGGGGGGGGGGGCTCGTGGCACGGAGGGTGCAGCCGGGGCAAATGCGGAGGCTGGCGTGGGTGGCTTGGGCGGAGGAGAAAGGGCTGCAGTGGGGAATGCCCACCTGGGGAAGGTGGAAGGCCACTCTGAGACCGCTGCAGGCTGAAGTGGGCTGGGGCTCAGCCCGGGCAGTTCTGCCTCCATCAGTAAGCCACAGTTGGGTTCTGACCAACCCAAAACCGGGTTAGTGTAGAGATGGTTGTGACCTAGTTAAAAGCTAGTCAGTCCCTGCCCCAAAGAGCTTTGCAAGGCCTGGGTCCCTCCTCCTTCCATCCGGCTGGTGGGAATCCCCTTGGCTGTGGAGGCCCAACCGCCAGGCCTCTTCTTGAGTGGCCGTGTCTGGGGCAGCTCCAGCAGCGGAACCAGTCCAGAGAGGTGGCTCACCCCAGCAGCAGGCCTGTCGGCTGCCCCCACATAGGCTACTTGCCCCCTGCCCAAAAGAGGGGCCTGCCTCAGCCCTGCCATTAATCTTCTGCAAATTGAGGCTTCTTCGAGGCTACCATGGAGTTCTGGAGGTCCTGCTCGTCACATCACCTAAAGAATCCAGAAGAACCAGGTTGGGGACTCGGGATTATCTAGAGTCACCTGTCTAGAACCCAGGCTCGGAAGGGCCACGCGTGAGAATTGCAGGCAGGGTCTGGTGTATGAGCTCCCAGGGATGGGGAGGCAGAGGTAGTTTGAAGTAGAAGACTGGAACTTCCACTTGGACCAGGACCTGGCTGTCTCCCTTGCTGGAGCTGACCGGCCCTGCCTTATGGTCACCACCGGCACCTGCCCAGCGCTCTCCCTAGTGGAAACGAGTGGACATCTTCTGGCTTGGAGAGATGGGTTCCTCACTGGGCTGAGCCACACAAGGCCCACCACTGATGGTGGAGCTTCCTTCCTTCCTTCCTTCCTCCCTTCCTTCCGTCCTTCCTTCCTGAGACGCTACATCGAAGGAGGTACCGAGTTCCTGCCTTGGTGTGTCTGACCTGTTTCTGATCTCTTACTAAACTGACTCTCTACGGAGTGACGTTTCGGGGCTAACCCTGCCTCTCTAACCGTTTCTCTTCTCTCTGCCTTTTTCCTCCTCCTGTCCGCTTGCCGACTTGCACAGACCAACTCTACCAACAGCTTGAGCAGAACCGGCGTCTCACTCATGAGCTGAAGTTGGCCCTGAATGAGGACTAAGCTCTCGTACCTCCTAACCCATGTGTCTTGACTCGCCTGCCGTTGAATGATGCGAGAGACCTGTGTCTGCTGCTGGGTGGGGCTGAAGCTGGGTGGACCGAGGCTTGGCCTTTCCTTTTCGACCTTAGGATGGGCTACCCTCTTGGTCATCGTAGCTTGATAAAATGGGACCAAGGAGCCGCCTCCTTGGAAGGGGGAGTTTCACTAGCAATTCTGGCCTTGGGGAAAATGCTGGAATCGGAATCTTGGCGAAGTTTGCTTCCTGTTGGGCTCACGAATAAGATCTGAAGACTCACTTTCCCAGCCCAAGTAGTCAAAACGACCTCCAGCAGCAGAAGGGGCCTTTTGTTGATAACCTCTGCTAGTTTTGTGGTACATTTGCATTGTTGCGAAGCTGCTGTTGCTGTGTTGATTGTATGTGGATCTCAAGCTTTTGTGCTTTTGTCTCCCGTCACAGACGTGTATTTAATGCCTTTCCCACACAATATGCATGTGACTTTACACTAACGGCTATTGTGAAAGCTGCTTTACTTTTCCCTAGCAGCAGAAAAATATCTGAAATTTCCCTAGCAGACAGATAGCTGCCTCTTTCCTTCACTCTCCACCTTGTCACATTCCACCATTTCTGCAGTCCTGGTGGAGTCAAACTGCAAAATACTTTTGTTGGCCTTTTTAATGCATGGATTTTTCTTTTCTCTCTGCTGGAAGTTAACTCTCTCCCCTCCTTTTTTTAATTTGTGATAGAAAAAGAAGGGCAGATTTTCTTTCTTGTTAGAAGACGGGTTGAGTCAGCCAGTTGCCACAGCAATAACTGACAAATCCCCAACTCCTTTAGGCGTTTACGGTGCTTGGGTTCTGTCTTAAATGCGCCAATACAAGTTTGTCACTTACCTTGGCCGGATCAGTTAGGGGCAGTGGCAGTGGCCTGGCTAAAAGATGCTTTATCCCTTTTCTGATTCAAATATTTGGACTGCCATAGTGACGCTATGCATAGGTGTTTCACCGCGATGTTTGCCTTCCTGCCATTAAAGGATGCCTCCAAATGACTCCTTTTCATTCTTTTTTTGACCCAAAACAGAGAAAGTGGCCAATGCAAAAGAAGAAAACTTCAATATGCATCAGATGCTGGACCAAACTCTACTGGAGTTAAACAACATGTGATACGTCTCTTAGCCGGGACGGTGCCAACATCAGTTTCATTTCTAGTTCTTTTTTTTTTAAAAAAAAACACCTGCTTGCCATGAAACCCCTTGAAATGTGTCCTTATTTTATCATTCCCGCTACCCCCCCACCCCACGTTGCTGCAATCATCACAGGCCTGTCCTCTCTGTCCAGGCACTGGAACTGGGGGAAAGATTTAAGATGGGGAACAAGATGCAGGAGTTATGGGGGGCATCTCTGCCAGCTGTGGGGCGCCCTCCTTGGGACTCCTGTTGCCGACGCTTTGGAGGGAGTCGGTTAATGCCAACTGTCTGCAGGCTCCCCCCCAAATGGGAATATTCTTTATGTTAGGATTGCCGAGGTAGATCTCCCTCAGTTTAATAGTCAGGGACGTAGGGTGAAGGGGAGGGGGGATTTGGATTGCCTTGTCTTGAAAGAAAAGGCAGCCGTGTCGCCCTCCAGCCCCTCCCTGGATAATTCAGCACTTCGCCCAGCCTAGGAACTCTTTTATTTTTCCTCCTGGGGGGGCCTGAGACTCAGCATGAAAAGAAACTTCGAACATCGGCGGCATTTTGTTCTGCGGAAGGTTCTGTGGCGGCTTCAGAGATCTGTTTGCGCTTCGGAGCCATCCTTATCTTACACAGAGAACGTCCCACTGCAATTTTTATGTTGTCTGAACCAAATGCTATTTTTGGTGTCTGCCACCTGTTTGTTCAACACGCCTTTCCCTCGTGTCGTTTTGAGCAGTTTTGGAGAATCATTTCTATATGTAAACATTGTATAATTGATGATAATGAAATAAAACACACACTCTAGAACATTTTTTTTAAAAAAAAAACAATGGTTGTAGCCTTTTCATATTTATTCTGCTATCTGAGAGGTTTCATCACTGGAGGTTTCCAAGCCGAAGTTGGTCATTTGTCTGGGATGGTTTAAGGATTCCTGCTGGTCAGATTTAACTTGGGCAACGTCCCGATGGGTGGAATTCTGGGAGTTGGTTCACCCATCTGAAAGCTGTCAAGTTTGAGAACACTGGTCTAGATTTTGCCCTTGAACCCTGCGATTTTAGGGCAGGGATGTCCGACCTTAGCAACTTTAAACTTGTGGCCTTCAACTCCCAGAATTACCCAGCCAGCCACAGGTCTTAGAAGTTGCAAAGGTTGGACACCCAGTTTCCTTGCAATGCGGTGCAAAGTTAAACTTTGCTAAATGAAACCAGACTTTTGTCTAAACTGGAGATAATTTTGGCAAATGATAAATGATTCTGCTTTATTGAGAAAGTGGGAATGAGAGTTAAAACAACAAATGGTGCTAGGGGCCCCATCTGGTCTGCATTTTATAGCACACTGAAAATTATTTGGCCTGGCCTGGCGCCCAAGTCGATGGGTTTAAAACTTAATTGGAATTGCATTCCCCTTCATTTCCTGGATTCTGCGCTGGTCCAGTTCACGGGAGTGATTGTAAACGGCCAAAGTATCTGGCCTCCTGGGCTTTCCTCCTCCCCACACAACAGGTCATTGCTCCTTCCGTTGTTGATATTTGGGCTAAAAGGGCAGGAAAGCATATCTCTGGGACATTTGATTCCCCTTCATTTTAACCGGCTGTTCAGTGAACTCAACACAGCCCAGAAAGGGCTCCAGAGACGAGGATGGTCCGGCCAAGGGTGGAACCCATGCAGAAGAAGACGTGTTGCTTCTGGCCGTGAAGCAGGGGGACTTAATGGAATTGAGACCAGGTTCTCTGGGGCGCCTTTTGTGCTCACATTTAAGTTCACTCCTGTCCAAGGAGGGGCTAAAATGCAGCTTGTTTTCAGGTAACACGGCCCGTCCTGTATTTAGTAACCGCAATTGGGACTGACTCTTGGTGGTTAAATGAAGTAGTCACTAAGTGAAATGGTAATTGCTTATGAGCTGACTTCAGCTTTCCTTTGTTTGTTGACCTGCCAAGGTCATACCTGCAAGAACTGGTCACAAAGTGATTTTTCTCCTCACTGTTGTAACTGCAAACAGTCGCTAGATAGCACCAGTTGCGTGCGGGCCTTGGCATATCCCACAAAGCCCTTCCAGCCAGTGGCCCAATTCTAACCACTTTAACTCGGCTGGAGAAGGGACGCTCTTGGCTCCTGCTATGCCCAGCGGGGCCTTTCTCTGGAGCAGTTCAGGGGTTGGCAGGAGCCCCCCAAGTCCGAAGAGGAGCAGCCCCAGGAAAAACAACCTTGAAGGGGGGGACTCCGGCTCCTGAGATCCCCACGTGGGGGAGGAGGGTGGTCGATGTGCTCCACCTACGAAGGGCAGCCCAAGCTTGGACTGGGAAGGGGAGCTCTGAACCCTCCTGGCTTGTAGGCATGGACTTCAGGTCCCAGAATTCCCTGGCCAGAAAGGAGGGGGATTCTGGGAGTTGGCATCCTCCCTAGTACTAAGGCATAGTGGTGGGGCGCCTGGACCCAGGCTTCGCCCCCCACCCGCAACGCCCCCCGCCCACGGAGCAGCAGCAACGCCGCCTCCTTCGGGGGCCTTCACGTGCGCCGCCCGCCCAGTAGGGGCGCTCCCGGCCCGGCCCCGATCGATGCACTCGGCGCTCGATCGCGCTTCCGGGGGGCGGGCGTTCCACCCGGAAATGGGCGGCTGGCTTCGCTCGGGAAGCGGCTGCTCGAGCCTGGCCCGCCTCCTAGCAACGCGGGCCTAGCCGGGCGCGGAGCCTGAGCCTAGCGTGAGGCCGGTGGCCGGCGGGGCGCGATGTGGCTGCTCCTGCGGGGCTTAGTGGCGCGGCGGGCCGCCCTGCGACTCATCGGAGGCGCTTTCCGGAGCGGCGGCGGCGGCGGACCTCGCGCTGGGTGGCCCTTGTGGCGGCTGGGCGTGGGGCTGGGCCTGGCGGTGACCGCCGTAGCCCGGCCGGAGGGGGACAACGAGGAGCGGCCGCCCAGAGAAGCGGCCTTCCGGCGCGCCGTCGCCCGGAGCAGGGACCTCCTCCAGCGGCTAAAGGTTGGAGGGTAGGGAGCACGTGCTCTGAGCATGTACAGAGTCCCCAAAGTGGGTAGGGTGTACGGCTGTCCAGGCGCCGCCTATTCGCCCCGAAGCCTTGTTTGAGGGGGCGAAGGGCCTCTGAGCATGTGCCGAGGGTCCGTCTTGGCCCAGAGGAGGCAGGGAGGCTCGGGCCGAGTTTTCCTCAACAGGACCCGGAAGGCCGACGGGGGCCCCCCTTTGCCCTCCCCGGGAACCCCGTTTGCGCGCACGCACCGCCCCTCGATGCCCCTCAGCCGCCTCCCCCCTGAGCCCGGTCATGCGGGGGGGGGGGGGTGTCAGGCGGAAGCTGGAGCCGGTCTCGGGCTGAATGAACCTTTTGCTCCCCAGGACCAAATGGGGGTCCCCGGCGTGGTGGTCGGCGTGTCCGTGGACGGGAAAGAGGCCTGGTCGGAAGGTGAGTCGGTGGGTTCCCTTCCCTGGCAAAATGCCCAGCCCAGTTCGGATGGGGCTGGCACCAGAAAGTTACATATGAAGGATGAAGAATAATACCTTTTAGAAAAATCTGTAAACATCACAGGAACCTTAAACGAAACTGCTCTGAAACAAAACAGGGCGCTGGAACAAAAGCGTTTTATTTACAAGTTATATTTAAAACTAAATATAATTAAGCGCAGTGTTTCCAGCCATACTTGCCCTGCATAATGAGAAAACATTTGGCCAGTTGACTGTGTTTGGCTTTCTAGCTTCCAGTCGTGTTTTCAGAGTTTAATTGCCTGTCTACTCTCTTCTATTAATAATATGCATGCTTTTTCAAAGCAAAATTTAAATTACTGTCTGTATGCTAATTCTAATTTTTCTTTACGTATGGTGCAATTAAAAAGTGTATTGAAAATCATTCAGCTTACGTATGGTTCATCCTTGTATAATACTTGTGAGCTGAATTTAATTGATCTAATAAGACTTGCTCAGGAGATTCCAGTCTGCTGAGGTCAAGCCAGTCCTGCTTTGCAATGCTTGCTTTGCCTTGCCAGGCAGCTGGCATCCCTTAATTTTGCTTGAGGAAGTCTGACTTGTACCATGGGTGATCTAGGATGAGATAATTCATTTGTCTTCTATTATGTTTCTTCTTTTTCTTTTCCCCTCACAAACAACACCCAGAGTTAATTAGTGTTTTTCTGTATGTTCATATTGAACAAATAGAAACATCTGGGACACATATGTTCTTGCCTTAGAGTATATGATGACTTTCTTTCCTCTTGCTAATTCTCTGAATAAAGTGCTGATTCTCACTGGGTCACAGAGCTGTTCTACTTGTGGAAACTATTAGGCCAAGAAGATACGACCATTGTGTGATCTTATAGGGGAAAAAGACCCTTTGATATTTAGACCATTGGAGGTTTGGGCCATTTCAGTGCATAGGGCACACCCTTAAATAATTGATTCCTGATTCCTTTAAAGGTATAGGTTACGCTGACCTGGAAAACCGTGTGCTCTGCAGTCCAGAGACTGTCCTACGAATTGCCAGCATTAGCAAATCTCTGACCATGGTTGCTGTTGCAAAGCTGTGGGAAGACGGGAAGCTGGATTTAGATGCTGCTGTGCAGAAATATGTTCCGGAATTTCCTGAAAAAGAATATGAAGGTGAAAAGGTAAGGCTGGCTGTTCGCAGCAGCAGCATCCAAAAATCTCCTTGGCCACGCTCCTGTAGTGGAAATATGTCATTAACCTAATTTAATCATAACTCACATAGATGACATCAAAATGAATTTGGGTCTTTTAAAAATTTAGGTCACTATTACCTCAAGGCTGCTTGTATCACATTTAAGCGGTATTCGCCACTATGAGAAGGATATTTCTAAAGTCAAAGAAGAAAAAGAAAAGGCCAACAGAAAAGCCACAAGGACTGCAGCTTCTGCTGCGAAAGAGAAAGAAGACAAAGACACTGAAAAGAGGGACTTGGCCAAAGGCAAGCCAGAACAGGAAGGCAAACATGCGAAGAGTGGAAGGAAGAAAAGGGAGTTTGAGCACGAAGAGTATTATTTGAAGGACAAATTTGAGCATGTGATTGACTCACTGAGCATCTTTCAAAATGATCCTTTATTCTTTAAACCAGGTGAGTTGCTAATCTGCAGCCATCCAGACTGTAGGTGATGGAGTCACGTTGCCCTTTGTGCTAAGCCCTAGAGTCGTTTCCAGCCCGCAGGCCACGGGTTTGACAGCCCTGGTCTAGCCAATCGGGGCTCAGCTAGCTAAGCCATGATGGGGCTCCATATAAGAGCAGTGTCTTGTTTTCCTGTAAGAAGTTAAATTACAAATAAAAATAATAGAAATTCAGGTAGCAAGTTAAATACGGAAGACAGAGAAAGCGACTTATTTATGTTGACTTTTCATACATAACCCTATATTTTAAACTCTTACAAAATCCCACCCTTGTAAACTCTATAAAGTATGCAAAGATATGCTTTATCTCTGAACACCTAGGTCCCTTCTTGAGCAGAATTCCACGACCATAAACTCTTGTGTGAAGTGGGGGCTGTCTTCTCTTTTGCTTCCTTCAAGGTAGCCAGTTTTTGTATTCGACTCACGGGTTCACTCTCCTGAGCGCTGTGGTGGAGAGAGCTTCAGATCAGAAGTTCACCGACTACATGCTGAAGATATTTAGTGACTTGGACATGGGATCCACGGGGTTGGATGAGAATGAGCCTCTGATATACAACAGGGCAAGGTAAGTAGCCAGGCACGTGTCCCCATCGTTCCTCATTTCTTTCAACTGAATAAGTGGGCCTTGTTCCACGTGGCCAGTTGCACGAACAGGTGGGTGTGAAAAGAGGAAGGGGGCTGTGTCCAGGCTTCTTTTGTATGGAATAGAGTTGTTTGAAAAAGGACAGCTGCTCACGTACATCAGACATTTGGTGATTTGGAATCAAACTGAGTCTCTAGGAGGTTTCCTTGGAAAGGCTGTCAAGCACATCATGGGCATACGTGGAAATAAATCCCACAGCCGTCGTAATTCTGTTTCAGTGAAGGAATCCCGTAACACCAGAGAGCACTGCCATCTTGTGGCTCTCTTCTCGGGACCCGCAATCCACTCCAGGGAAAAGAGAGAACCGGTTCAGAGATCCCTTGAGCTGCAGGATGGCTTTTCCCAGCTGCTGAGCTCAAGAGAAACCCGATAGATCATTGAAACACAAACTCTTGTCCTGAGGCTGTCATCTCAGATTTGTATGGCGTTGGTACTCTGTGTTTAATTAATGAGGTTTTCCTTCCTTCCAAGTTGCTGTTTTTGAAGGAGGATGGAGCACATCTGATATAGAGCTCTTATTCCAACATTCCCCTGGCTGGCATGTTGCCCCCTGAGTTTTTTTGTGTTTTTTTTGCTTTTTCTACTTTTGGCGAAGGCAGCCTTGGGATGGGCTTGCTCCTTCCTGTGGACCTGATGTCTCAAAGGACAGAATGCTGTTTACCTTGTTGAGTGAAGTGAGGTTGGATGTATGAGGCTTTTCAAGATTGTCGGTATGGCTTTTCTCTACCTGGCAGAGATTGTCCAGAGCATTAGAAGGCTGCTCATTAACTGGCCAGCACTTCTGTTTCGTATGATTTATGTGGTGGCCACTTGGGCAGAGAATTCTGTCAATCTCTTTACATCAGAAATAATCCAATGGCAGATAGTTGCTTTAGCCTAGCAAATAGATGGATTGTTTGCTTCATGCTGTGAATTCATCGAGCATCCTTGTTTCACTCCAGGTTTTATATTCACAACCAAAAAGGCCACCTTGTCAACGCCCCCTATGTGGATAACTCTTACAAGTGGGCTGGGGGTGGCTTCGTGTCCACCGTGGGTGACCTTCTCAAATTTGGAAATGCCATGCTCTACAGTTACCAGCTTGGACAGGTGAAGGATCCAGCGACTGAGCTTCTTCCTGGTTATCTCAAGCCCGAGACGATAGCAGCGATGTGGACCCCAGTCCCAAGCACAAGAGTCTCCCAGGAGAGCGACTGGGCCTATGGGATGGCCTGGGCCATTGTAGAGAAGAAACAGGAATGCGGCCACTGCAAAGAGCAGCGACACTATGCCTTCCACACCGGCGGGGCGGTGGGAGCAAGCAGCGTCCTGCTCATCCTTCCAGAAGAATTGAGCTCTGGGGCACCCAGCGGTAGCTGCCTGGCCCCACCCCGTGGCGTGGTCGTCACAATTATTTGTAACATGCAGTCCGTTCACCTTGACGGCATTGCCTTAAAAATTGCTAAGGAATTTGAAAAGGACAGGTTAGCACAACGCTCTGATCAACGGTTGGAGAGGAAATATGGAAGCTTGAATGATTACAAGCCTCTGTAGCCCAGGCGGCCTGCCCCTCCCTCCCCCCCCTCTCGCTCTTTAAGTGGCTAGTGCAGCATTAGGTCTGATCGCTGGTGGGATAAGCAGTCCTTCATTAAGGGGGCAGGAACGGACAGTTTTTCTGATTCAAGTAACCAAGTACATGTGCCAATCGGACTGTGTGCCTCCCCTTCTGCAAATTATGAAGCACGGTGTGGATGCTTGGAAACCTCTTTGCTCTCTTAGCTAAAAGGCAGAGAGTCTTCGCTTTCAAAATGGGAATGGGGAGTTTTGTACTGCAGTGAAGAAGTTTTGCTCTTGGAGAATTGCAGTCCTGAACAGAGAGGTGATCTCATCTGGCAAGGTTTGGAGCTCCAGGGGCCTTTGCAAGGGTGATCCCACCTGGAAGACATCTTCAACCAAACAGTGAATAAAGCTGCTTCCCCTCACGGCTAAGGCACTCGCTGATGGAGGCCGCTCCAGCAATATGCAGAATCGATGCAGAAAACCACACTGCCAACTCCATGGAATCGGCTGTCCGAGGTAACTTCAAGCCTCAGAGCAGGTGCCGGCATTAGAATTCTGCTTGGCGGGTTACTATTTTTTTAATAACTTGCTGCCAGCTTAGGCAACAGATTGTGACCATCTAATATTGGGTTCCCTTTTCTCAAAAACAGACAATAAAAACAAGTGTTTTAAAAAATTTCCGGGCTGTTTACAAAGGCTGCAATTTTATATGTGTCAAGCTCTGCTAAGGGGACTGTTGAGCAGACAGGTAAATGCAAGTTAAAGACCTTTTCTCTGGGAATTTTTTAAAATCAAACTCTGCACTTTCAAATTCGTATTCAAGCTGTCTCTCTCAAACAGGGGGTTCTCTTTCAGATACTTTGTGTCCCAGAATTTCCTGGAGGTTTATTGCACTGTATAGGCATCCGTTATCCATTTTCTGTTTTATTAAGCCTGTCAATTCCCTTTATATTATTTTGGAATTAGGAAAGCTAATCAGTATTTGGATGATCTTGGCAGTGAATTTTACTCTGAAATTTGTCTTGGCTTTTTAGCAAAGCCCCAACCTTGGTCTTGCATAAATGCTAGACTTACAGTAAAGATTTGGATTAAAATTAAAGGGATTTTGAAGATGATGATCTGTTTTCCTCCTCCGTTCCATAATGGGTGGTTAATCAGAAATACATTCTATTCCACCTTTGAAATATGGAATGATCTATTAGTGGTGTTGGTTTAAGTGCCAAATAATCATATTTTCCCACATCTTGCTTTTAAAAAGCTGGACAAATGGTAGTTAAAGTCCGTTTGACTTGGGGGATCGACCATTTGCTTATGTTGGCTGCTGATAATGTAAAATTGTATTTAGATTTTTTAAAACGGGATCAGCTTCCCTTAATCAATAAACACTTTATAATGTTTGCACTGTTCAATGGGTGTTATCTGTTCCTTCAACTGAACCGGCTGCTGTTTTAGTAGGGGATGTGGATTACGGAATCTGGGAGACCAAATTGCTTCTCTTTGTAGCTACGTCAGAGTAACAAGACCAAGGGGGAAGGCATCAAGTACCTTGCCGATGGATTCAGAAAAAGGAAATGTCACGTTCTTCATTTCAAAACATTAATTCCCTTTTGTTTTATCTGCGGCACGGTCAACCTTGCGTTCAGAAAACCAGCTCAGACCCCAGACAACAAAGCAGCTGGATCCTAAGAGAGTTAAAATATAAGATGTGACGAATTCATGTGCAGAAGGAGAAGAAGCAGCAACCCACCCATCAAGACCGCTCTACATCAGAAATAGCTGCTTCTCAAAAGGCGCCATTGTTTAGCCCTGGGTCTGCAGGCATTTCTTCTGTACTTCGCTGAAATAAATGGGTCTTTGCAATAAGCCCAACAGCCTTCCTTGCTGGTTACTCATCTCAAAAGGAGCTGGCACTGCAGATGTTCCCAGGAGTGGCAGGGAGCCAGAGACGGAAAGCCACACAACAGCCGGCTGAAAGTCCCCTCTTCCTGGGCAATGCGAGGCTGCTCCAGTTTGTGACCACTGGAAAGAGGAGGAAGCGCATCACAGCCTGGCGAGCCAAAGTGGCAACTATCTGACCTGCATGATTGTATCATAGGAACAAAGTCTGCGCTCTCGAGTCTAAGGCCCCGATTGCTGGATCCAGGACCTGCTGAGCCCAAATCGGGCCGGGGGGGGGGGGGGGGGGGGGCAGTTCAACCTGGAGAAGATCAGGCGGGGGTCCCGCTCCCCCCACCGGGGTCGGTTGAGTCTTCCAGCATGGGATGTACCACGCAGCCCCTCCCCCCCCCCATCTTCTCTTGGGGCGCCTTCTTCCGCTCTGGCCTGGGCTAAAGCGGAGTTTCCCAGCGCCCGTGAGATGCTGCTGGGGGAGGCGGGCCGTCGAAGGGCCCCGGTCTTCCAGTTGCCGAGGTTAGAGAGCCCCCCGTGCAGCGGGGCTTAGAGCAGCGGCCCCGACCAGGCGGACCTCCAACCCCCAGAATCCCCCCGCCAGCTCAGAGTTGGAGTCTTCCAGGCTTCCAGTTGCCCCGGTTGGAGACCCCCGACTCCGAGCCTGCGGCCGCCTCTCTCCGCCGCCAAAGCCTGCGAGGCTCCCCGCGCTGGGAGAAAATCGCGCCGTTCCGGCTCGCTCAGCAGCTGCCCGGTGGCGAAACGGGCCGCCCCGTAGGGAGCCCCTCCTCTCGGCCCTGGCGCATGCGCAGCGCGGGGCTGGGGAGCCGCCTCGGACCACAACTCCCGTCATCCCGCGGGAGCCGCCGCGTCCCGGCCACGCCCCGCGTCGGCGCGCCCCCCCCCCCGCCCGCCCGCTCCCCCTCCCCCCCCCCAGCCCGTCAGTCGGCGGCGGCGGCGAAGATGGCGAAGACCTACGACTACCTCTTCAAGCTGCTTCTGATCGGCGACTCGGGCGTGGGCAAGACCTGCCTGCTCTTCCGCTTCAGCGAGGACGCCTTCAACACCACCTTCATCTCCACCATCGGTGAGGCGCCCCGGCCGCCGCCGCCCTCGCCCTCCCCTCAGGCCCCCCGCCCGCCCACCCACCCGCGGGGGACTCCCACTCCCAGGGCGCGCGGGCGGGGGGCGGCCCTGCCTCCCTCGTTTCCGCTGGCCTGGGAGCCTCCGCCGTCCAGCGGCCCCGCCCTCCCCCACGGGGGTCCCTGCGCCCCCGCCCCGCTGCCCCCCCCCCCCCCGCCCCCCCCCGGCCGTGGGCAGCCTGGGGAGGGGGCTTCCGTAGCCCCCCCTCCTCCTCCCCTCAGGATGGGGCCGCTGGAGAGCCCCGGTGCCCCCTCCCCTCCGGAAAGGGGTGAGAGGTCAGGGGGGCCTCCAGCAGCCCCCCGCCCCCCACCCGCTCTGGTGGCCGGTCTGGCCCTGGGAAAGCCCCTCTTGGCCCGGGGGGGGGGGGCTGCCTCCTTGGCCCCTGGCAGGCGGTGCGCCCCCTCCTGGCTGCTCTGCCAACGGAAATAAGCCCCCCCCCCCGCCTCCTCCGTGCAAGGGGGGCTTTGGGGTGGGTGGCAGAGACCGGCGTGCACCCCCCCCCCCCCCCCCCCCCCCCTCGGGGGCCGGCGGGTGTTTGACAAGCGCCTTTGCTGGGAAATGAACCTGAGCCGCCCGGGAGCTCCTCCGGGTGGGCTTCGGAAGGGCTCCGTCGAGGGCCTTTCCTGCGGGACCCCCCCTCTTCTTTGGGGGCTGCTTAGGAGGGGGCAGCCTCCACCTGAGTCACAGGGGCCTTCACCGCATCCCTTTATCCCCTTCGGTTCCTAAAGCAACGGTTTCCCTGAAGCATCTGTGAACGCTGGGCCATAACTAGGCCGGTGCCACCTTTGGTGCCACCTTTGGTGCCACGGTGACCCAGAGTCACAAAAGCCCTCTAAGAAATTGCAACTGCCCTGGTAAAAGGGAGAGTGTGTTCATGGCCAGGAGAAATGATTACTATATGTGATAAGAGAGTAGAAACACCCTCGACTAATCTTTGAACCACCTGTGTGCAATTTATGCTGTTTACTTAAAGTAAAATTATTTTTTTCTTCTTCTTCTGCGAGATAGCCAGGGTTTATTGCTGGAGCTTTTTATATGCAGCTTTTACACCTTTGGTCTTCCGTTCTTGGTTGTACTTATTTCCAATCATTGTATTGAGCCACCTAGCAGTAGAAGCCATCGGCCACCTGGCACCCTGTAGATCTTCTTTGCTATGGGCTCCAATCATTTATCATTGGGGTTCCGCCTCAGGCCTACCAGGGCTAAAGCCCAAAGCATTGGGAAGTAACATTTGGCTTGGTTGATACACAGAAGCGGAGTCTTAGCAGGGTCATTTAGCTTTGCTGATCCAGAACTTGTTTTGGGGTGAAAAAGTGGAAGACGTTTATTGTTTTGGTTCCAGGCTTACTTGAGCAATTTCAGTCTGTGTGTCATTTATTTCAGTCCAAATAGTGAACAGTAGATGTACCCAACTGTGATCGCCTTGAAAAGATAACACAGCCAAAGCACCAACGGAGAGGACTAAAAGGTGACACTCGATGTAATAGGTCCAACTGACCAAGAACTAGTTTGGAAACTTCGGAGAGGGGACTTGATTGTTGTGCCAAGTAGTTCAGCTCCTCTGTTGACTGGGTTCTCCTGCTGCACTCATGCCCTGTGTTTTGACTTGGCCTGTAGCAGGAACACCGGGCTGCCCAGCCTTGCCTTGCGCTGAGCGATCCCAAAAGAAGCTTTTGCCCCTGGGCGTCTTCTCAGCTGACCCTTCAGGGAGGGAAGTCCCCAGCACAGCTGCTGCCATTTCTGCTTCCTCAGATGGCTTCCCAAAAAGGCTGGCCTGAACTTCTCATCAGCCAAGATGAAAGAGAACAGTTGGCTCAAGGAAAGGGTGTTTCTTTGGTTCTTGCTGAAATGTCTCGGTGCTGAATGCTGAGTGTCCAGAAATTATCAGGAAATGAAGAGAGTTACAAGAAAAATTGCTCAGACTGGATGCTGAAGGGCGTTAAGCAAGCATGAATTCTTTTAGTAACCGGTCTTGAGCAAATGGCTTCATGTTTTCTGACATTCTGTGGGTTTTTTAAGCTTCCCTGGCATATTGTTGTGCTAGGGATATAGACAGAATATCAGCATGTGAGCTTTCTAAACGTTGGGGCGATTCCTGTGTGGCATGGACGAAAATGTTAATTACTCAGCTAATGTAAATGGGGTTCCTGTGTGGTGAAGCCTTGTGTTCTAGCCTCTCTTCCTGTTGAGTTAAAAGTGGCCCTCGTGCCACCAGCACTCTGCATTCTTGCCTAAATTGTCTTTAACAAAATGCATCCCAAACCAATTGAAGATTTCTCTTAATTGGGGGCGGGGGGGGGTTGCATTGTCCAGATACACTGAGTATAGTACAATATCTCAGGAGAGTGGGGGAATTCTGGGAGTTGGAGTCCACAAGTCTTAACATTGCCAAGGCTGGATACCCCTGGTCTAAAGTATTCCTTAGTCAACCTAGGTTAGCATGCGATTAAACTCTGAGAAGTTTCCTTGAAGTCGGTTTCTTCCGCGGGGATGCATAATATGTCATGCCACATTTATTTTGGTTGAAAGAAGAGGAAGCTTGGGCAGATACAGGATGCGCAGGAAAAGGCTGCCGTTCCTTAACAACTTTGCTAGAGCTTTCTGATCCTCCTCCTGATGCAAAATCTATCGTTCGTTGCTGGAAGACATTTTGAGCGTGTCTTTAGGCGTGGCGTGGTTCTCGCTCTTCCTTCATTCAGGCTTCATTCTCCCGCCTGCCAACTGGGGTGGGCCGATGAC